CCCAGGCTGGAGTGCAATGGTGCGATGTCAGCTCACCGCAACCTCTGCCTCCTAAGTTCAGGCAATTCTCCTGCCTTAGCCTCCCAAGTAGCTGGGATTACAGGCACGTGCCACCATGCCCAGCTGATTTTTTGTATTTAGTAGAGATGGGGTTTCACCATGTTGACCAGGATGGTCTCAATCTCTTGACCTCATGATCCACCCGCCTCGGCCTGAACTATTTGATAAAAGATGGAGAAAGTACATGTCCACATGGAAAAATAAAATTATGTTCCTTAGAACATTCACAAAAATGAATTTTATGGAATTAGAGATACGAATCAAAAAAGCAAATTGTAGAAACTGATAAAAAAAACATAGCAGGCTATTTTAATGACTTAAGCGACAGAGAAGGATTATCTTAAAACACAAAATACAAAGAAAGCACAAATAAAGTGAAAAGACAAGACACAAAGCAGAATATCTGTAATGCAAATGACTAACAAAGAATTAATATCAAGAATATTTAAACAGTAAAAAGCAAATAACCTAACAGAGCAATGGACAAAGATAACAAATAGGTAAATCCCTGAGAAACCCCAAAAGGCTAATAAACATACCAAAACACATCCAACCTTACTAATAATAAGGGAAAGGTAAATTAGTACAGAATTGAGAGATTATTTCAAAAGTTGGCAAAAATTTGAAAGCCTGAGAGTGCCAAAATGGGGAAAAAGAGGAAATTCAAACTCTGGTGTGAGTATAAATTAAAATAACCACTTGAGTTGAAGACGCTTATGGCCTACAATGCAAAAATTCCAATAGAAACTCTTGTTTATATGTAAGGAATGACGATGTTACAATAATCACTGAAAAATGGCTTATAACAAAAAATTAGAAACAACTATATAATTCATCAGATGAGTGAATAAATATACAATAGCATACTCCACTGCAGTTAAAACAAATTATCAGTACACATATCAACATGTATATTCTCAAAAACATAAAACTGAGTTTAAAAATGAGCTACAGAATGATCTCACTTACATGTATTTTAAAAACTTGCCTAGGCTGGGCACGGTGGCTCAAGCCTGTAATCCTAGCACTTTGGGAGGCCGAGGCGGGTGGATCACGAGGTCAAGAGATCGAGACCATCCTGGTCAGCAAGGTGAAACCCCAACTCTACTACAAATACAAAAACTAGTTGGGCATGGTGGCGCGTGCCTGTAATCCCAGCTACTCAGGAGGCTGAGGCAGGAGAATCGCCTGAACCCAGGAGGCAGAGGTTGCGGTGAACCAAGACCGTGCCATTGCACTCCAGCCTGGGTAAGAAGAGCGAAACTCTGTCTCAAAAAAAAAAAAAAAAACTTGCCTAACGGCAAATTTTATGGATACATAAACACTCAGCAACAGTATAAAAATATTCAGGAGAATGAAAAACAGCATAATTATAAGAAGGGTTTCTCTAGGGAGGGAAATGGAAGAGGAATGGGAATATGGAAAGGAACAGAGGAGGTATCAACTGTATTTTTAATACTAGATACTGGGTAAACAGACAGATACAGGTAGGTGTGTTGTGAGTACATGGGTATCTATTTTCTACATCTCCATATATTTGAAACATGTTATAAACTTCCTTTATATTAGTAAAAGAAAACATTAAAAAATGGAGTTGCGGCCGGGCGCGGTGGCTCAAGCCTGTAATCCCAGCACTTCAGGAGGCCGAGGCGGGTGGATCACGAGGTCAAGAGATCAAGACCATCCTGGTCAACATGGTGAAACCCTGTCTCTACTAAAAATACAAAAAATTAGCTGGGCATGGTGGTGCGTGCCTGTAATCCCAGCTACTCAGGAGGCTGAGGCAGGAGAATTGCGTGAACTCAGGAGGTGGAGGTTGCGGTGAGCCGAGGTCGTGCCATTGCACTCCAGCCTGGGTAACGAGAGCGAAACTCCGTCTCAAAAAAAAAAAAAAAAAAAAAAAAAAAAAATGGAGTTGCAATATTAACATAAATGTAACTCAAAAAATCTTGAGTTAAAAAATTTACTCAAAGACATAAATGTATAGTGTGATATAATTTATATACTGAGTAAAACAAACTTTTTTTATAACTACCAATGTATTGACAATTGTATAGGCTTTCATGGGAATGAATAACTCCAAATTCAATATGATGGCTATCTCTGGGGAGTGAGTAAGAGGAACAGGATTAGGGAGGAGTACATTGAAGTTCCAACTAAATCTATAATATGACTTTAAAAAGTCTGAACCAAAGATTGCATTTTATAAAGCTTAGTACTGGATGGCTTTTAAAAAAACGTATTTAGGCCGGGCGCGGTGGCTCAAGCCTGTAATCCCAGCACTTTGGGAGGCCGAGGCGGGTGGATCACGAGGTCGAGAGATCGAGACCATCCTGGTCAACATGGTGAAACCCCGTCTCTACTAAAAGTGCAAAAAATTAGCTGGGCATGGTGGCGCGTGCCTGTAATCCCAGCTACTCAGGAGGCTGAGGCAGGAGAATTGCCTGAGCCCAGGAGGCGGAGGTTGCGGTGAGCTGAGATCGCACCATTGCACTCCAGCCTGGGTAACAAGAGTGAAACTCCGTCTCAAAAAAAAAAAAAAAAAAAAAAAAAAAACGTATTTATACATGTGTACATATGTAAATAATGGTAGGAACAACAATAATAAATAGGCAACAGCAAGTAAACATTTGAGCACTTATTATGCAGTAGCCACACTTTTCCCATCCAAGTACTAACCAGGCCTGACTGACCCTGTTTAGCTTCCAAGATCAGAAGATATTGGGAGCATTCAGGATAGGGTGGCCATAATCTAGTAGCCACGCTTCTAAGTACTTACATGCATAACCCTAAAAACAACCCTAGGAGGCAGATTCTGTTACTATCCTCATGCTATGAGGAACAGAAGCAGTGAGAGGTGAAGTTCATCCAAGGTTATAAAGCTAAGTAGTTAATGATAGTAAGAAAAGAAGCTAGGACTTCTACTCCAGCTTATAGTTTAGTAACTAAGTTATTATTATTTGCTATTCATTTCTGCATGTTAGAAATATTTCTTAAAAATCACTATTAATCCCCTCCTCTCCACCCCACATACATATATTTCAGCATAGCTCAAACTGGTTCTAAAGATGCTAAAAGAATTCTAGGAATGTTTTGAAAAAAGCAGCATCCCAACTACTCTACTAATTTATATGTTTGAGGTTTGATATTTTTTAAGACCATTACTTCATTGTTAAACATTATTTTTTCAATAGCCCTAAAATAATAATTTGGGATCCTAGAAAACTGACATGGGGAAGCCTAAAATATAATTCAACATCTCTCTCTCAGAGACAAAATTTGACTATTTACCTTTAGGTCTGAAAACTCGTATTAGAGATTTTAGTAAGCAATTCTGGCAAGAAATTGAATGGAACTTCAATTATTATTTTTTTCTAGTCTCTAAGATACAAGTTGGTTTATTTTTTAAAAATCAGTAGCAAGTATTATACAGTGATAAAATATCATGTGTATAGGATAATTTATACCAAAATAAAAGGGAAATTGGCATTCTCAGTGATCAAAAATGTATCAGCATTTATTATGTGCTAACCCCACACTCCTTGTAGCAGTAACCATTACATTTCTTAAATATACATTTCTGTTACCATGTCTTAAAAATGGCCCCTTTTCTCAATCTATATACCCACATTCTCATTACTATCATGTACTAATCTACAGAATGTCTTCAAAAAACAAAAAAGAAATTCACTGTCTTGTAGTAGGGGAAATAGACTAGTAAACAAAAGTTCTTTGTAATATGTAAGTACTTCAATAAAAGTATTTAAAAATATTAGAGTAACATAAAGTTGGAGGAGATGGAAACGTAGCTTGGGCACTTTTGTAATAGGAAATCTGGAAAATGATGAACAGGAGACACGACATTAGAGTACTCTTAAGAAAAATTGATTTAAAAGACAGAAGAGAGGCTAGCATGGTGGCTCACGCCTATAATACAAGCATTTGGAGAGGTCCGTGAGGGAAATCACTTGAGGCCAGCAGTTTGAGACAAGCCTGGGCAACATAGTGAAACTCCATCTCAAAAATAAAAAACAAAAAATTATCTGGGCATAGTGGTGCATACCTGTAGTCCTAGCTAATTGGGAGGCTGAGGCAGGAAGATTGCTCAAGCTCCTGGAGTTTGAAGTTACAGTCACCTATGATGGCAGCACTACATTCTAGTAAGACCCTGTCTCCAAATAGTAATAATAAATATATACAAGAAGATAGGGTAATAGTAGGAACATAGGGTCTAGAAGTACTAAAGATGAGAGAGAGAGAAATACTTAGCATTAACTCCTCTGATCTATTTTCCTTGACTACATTTATCTAAGACTAAATCCCAGCTGTTCATTTACTACTCATGAGCAAGTAACTTAACACTGCAAAGCTTCAAATAAAATACTAGATGTTTAAGAACTCTAAATTATAGAGGGAATCTGAATAAATGATCTCTAAAGTTCTTTCCAGTTTTGAAATTCCATAATTCTAAGACTACCAGAGACTCTGAACTCTTTAAACTCAAAAAGAAATCACAAAATATTCAGTATGCAAAGAAGAAAAATCAAGACCATTAAGAGTTTTTATAATTGCATCTTGTTATTTTTGCAAAACTGCTGTTAATAAAACAATTAACTTCTAATCAATCAATAAAATTCCCATAAAAAGAGCATGTTTTAATAAATCCTGGTAAGTGCTTCTCCCCTACAAACCTGTAGACTTCTAAAAAAAAAACCAAAAAATCAACAATGGAAGTATACTGCTTAAAAGCTCATAGTGCAGATTTGTAAGTCATCTTTTAAAATGAAGATATCTATCAAATATATGTATTACATATTTACTATAACATATATAAGCTGAAGGTTCATGAGGTTTCAAAAAACAGCTGATATTAACTCATTATAATAATATGTTTGTTTCATTATCACACATTCTGAAATTTGTAACAAGGTTTCCCTTACCTGATAGGGACATGGAATGTGATATTCTCTGCAGCGTTCTTGTATCCACGTTGTTTCCCAGATGCCACGGTAAGCTTGCTCATAAAAGTAGCATCCAATTACAACCAAGAGTGGTACGAGATAAAGAATGCTGAAAACACCAATCCGGATCATAAACTTCACTAATTTATCTTGGTTCTCCTTTTCTAATGGAATCTCAATTCGAACTCTATTTAGGGATATAATGCCAGCTAAGAGTAGAGAAACCCCCACTACCACATACAGGCAGAGGGGAGCAAGAACAAAATATCTCAATGCATCAACATCGTAGAGGCCAACAAAACACACGCCACTGATATTGTCACCTTCAATTTTATTCATCGCTAAAAGGATGATAGTTAGAGTTCCGGGGATGCCCCATGCACTGGCGTGAAACAGCAATGCTTTCTTCTCAATAGCTTCACTACCCCACTTTGGCACAGCTGCTAAAAACCATGTGATGGTAAGAATTACCCACCATACACTGCCAGCCATAGTAAAAAAATAGAGTACCATAAAAAGCATGGTACAGGCTTTATTATGAGATCCTTGTGTCACTGTGGAAGCCTTATATTGGGCAGGGATGGATGCATTGCAGGCTACTCGATCCTCTAGCAAAAATCCAATGAAGAAAATTAATGATACCATCATGTAGCAGACTGCATAAAATATAATTGGCCTTTCAGGGTAACGGAATCTTGTGACATCAATCAAAAAAGTTAAAAAAGTAAACAACGTGGCAGAGAGGCAAATGATTGAAATCAATCCTATGAAATAGCGAGCAAATGACAGTTCTTCTCTCCTAAAGTACATATTTGGACAAGGAGGTGAACAATCACGCACGTGCAGAAAAGAGTAACCCAGATCAGGATCAATTTTTAACTCTCGGGGACACCAAAAACCATAGTCTCTCTGCACTGCCACTGGGGTTCCTTCAGTTGGTTCTCCAGCTAAATTCAGATCTACAAGTCGAGGATATGGCTCGTCACAATCTGGGAACCTAAAAAACAAAACAAGATGAGAACTATTTTTATTTACAGGGAAATCTACCATAATCTAACAATTTAGATTTCCAAATTTGGCAATGACAACCTTATTTATTCCTGGAGAGCAAATGTAACATGATGTAGAAATAAAGTAAATGGTGGTATCTTGTTTGTGGTCCATACAACTAGATTTTTGACAGTTGAGCAAAAAATGCTAGTTGTGTGTCTTGAGAAAGTATGATAGCCTCCAGACAAAGAAAACAAGATTGTGTTGCAGACATTTATGCAGCTAAGGTCTCGAGACCACTGTCTTCATCTTCAATTTTTTTTTTGCCAATATCTGTTTCTAAGACTTTAGAGTCCAGTAACTAGCTGTTTACTGTTTTATATGCATCAAACAGTTTCTTAAAACTAGGAGCATAGAGTGCATTAAGTTTACCAGACACAAACATAACCTTATGCTGTAGCTGATTAATATCTTCAAATCTTTTTAATTTTCTAATACAAATCATTTTCTTCAGAGAATTATAAAGCCAAATGACAGAATATATCGCATTCAATTATTTATTGGAACCCTGAGTATGCCAGAAGCTAAAAAGATAAAAATACAGGATCTCTATCCTTAAATCCAGGAGACACGTAGTTATAGACACAGCATACACAAAATATAGCAGTGTGATACTCTGCTAGCAATTAAAATCTATATAAGGTACAAAAATGATAATGATAAAGACAGATTAATTACTTAAGGGGAAGGAGTGATCAAAGACTTCACAGAATAAGTCCCCCAATACAGGATTTTAAATCAGTATTAGCAGTATGCCAACTGGCATTCTAATAAGCAAATACAAGCATAGGAATAGATGTTCAAATAGGATGTGTTTGGTATTGCTGGAACATAAAGTGTTTACGACTTGTGGCAGGAGAAGAGACTGGAGAGGTAAGTATGTTGCAGAAGTGTGTGTGTGTGTGTGTGTGTGTATAAGTATTAACATACAATTTAAAGCCATGCAAACACTATATATTTCCCATTTTATACGATACTAATATATCTATAGATATACTTGCATATCTAACTGCCAACTCAAATAGATATCAAATAGGCCCCTCAATCTTCAAACCTTCTGAAAACAAATTCTTGACTTCTCCTCAGTTTCCCCATTTCCCTAAGTGGTTATTGTATACCTCTAGTTGCTCAGGCCAAAAACCTTGGGGTTATCCTTGGCGAGCCTTATCTTTCACATACACATCACAATCTACCAGCATTTCCTGTGATTCTACTTTGTGATATATCAAGAAACCAACCTCTTCTCATTTCCTCCCCTATTGGTGCCCAGTCTGAGCCATCAATATTTCTTTGCTGGACTTCTAGAGGTGCCTCCAACTGCTCTCCATTTCCACACAACAATCAAAGTAATCCTTGAAAGACATGTTGCTCCTGTGTTTGTGATCATGCCTCTTCTGCTTAAAACCCTCTAATGGCTTCTCCTCTCAGAGTCAAATCCAAATTCCCTACTGGAGCTACACAGACCTTCAGCCCCAGTACTTTTCTCGTCTTATTTCCTTCCATTTTGCCTCCCTCACTTGGCTCCAACCACTTTGGTCTCCTGTTGTTCTGTGAATTTATGAAGCATGCTTCCATTCCAGAGTCTCTGTAATTGATGCTCTGTTTCCTCTGCCTAGACTGCCCCCAGGTATCATCATTTGTTTTCTCACTTCATTCAAGTCCCTGGTGCAAAGCCTCCACATCAAAAAGGCCTTCTCCAAGGACTCTACAGAAAATAGAATCGCTTTGCTCTCCTATACTGTATCCCTATAGCCTGCTGCATTTGTTCCTATTAGCATTTATTTTCATCTGACTGTTTCCATTTATTTACTACCACCACTAGAGTTTTCACTCCATAAGAAAAGGAACTCTGTTTTGCTCACTGCTCAACTTCAGCATCTAGAATAGTGCCTAGCACACCAAAGACATTCAACTGACAATTGCAGAACTAATGAATATTGAGTGAATATATTAATATAACCCTAAACCAAGTTATCAGAAAGATAAACAGAAGCAGTGTAAAAGACAGACTTGAGCTAGGCAAAAATGGGGGCAGGGATACAGCTGTGCCAAAATGAAAGTCAAATAAAGAAGTGATAATGAGATAGATAAGAAATTAGTTAGCTAAAAGCAATAAAATGCATAACTTGGATGTGGCAGTTAAGATCAGTGAAGAAGGAACAGAAGATAACTTCCAGGGAATAAAAAAGTGAGCAAGGAAATAAAATTAATTTTACATACGTCAAAATTGAGGTCGCTAGACAAACTAAGGCCAGGATTTCCAATGGCTACTGGATATAGGTTAAAATATTTTTAACAGCTGCTGGATATATGCAGGTTTTTTTTTTTTTTTTTTTTTTTTTGAGACGGAGTTTCGCTCTTGTTACCCAGGCTGGAGTGCAATGGCGCGATCTCGGCTCACCGCAACCTCCGCCTCCTGGGCTCAGGCAATTCTCCTGCCTCAGCCTCCTAAGTAGCTGGGACTACAGGCACACACCACCACGCCCAGCTAGTTGGTTTTTTTTTTTTTTTTTAGTAGAGACGGGGTTTCACCATGTTGACCAGGATGGTCTCGATCTCTCAACAGGATGGTCTCGATCTCTCAACCTCATGATCCACCCGCCTCAGCTTCCCAAAGTGCTGGGATTACAGGCTTGAGCCACTGTGCCCGGCATATGCAGGTTTTGAGCTTCGCAAGGAGAGGCTACAGGTTTAGATTTAGGAGTCTTTAGTATATAAATAAAAGTTAAAATCAGTGAGATGAGATTATCCAGGGAAAGCTGTAGAATCAGAGAACTGGAACTGAACTCTGGGAAGCACCATTATTCAAGGGCAGAAAGAAAAAGAGGATCGAAGAAGGAAACTGAGAAGGATCAATCTGAAAAATAACAGATCACATAATGGACTGAATCATTTTCAGGAAAGGAGGACAGGCTGAGGTTGAAGGAAATAAAGGTGAGATACAAGTTTAAAAGTGAGTGATACAGATTTGGCACAAGTGCTGAGGAAAATGAATAGAAACTTTTCTGACCAAGACAAGTGGTTACAAATAGAAAATACAACTGCTATGATTTCAGAATCATTAAATAAATAGCATAGCCGGGGGCGGTGGCTCAAGCCTGTAATCCCAGCACTTTGGGAGGCTGAGGCAGGTGGATCAAGAGGTCAAGAGATCGAAACCATCCTGGTCAACATGGTGAAACCCCATCTCTACTAAAAATACAAAAAATTAGCTGGGCATGGTGGTGTGTGCCTGTAATCCTAGCTACTCAGGAGGCTGAGGCAGGAGAATTGCCTGAACCCAGGAGGCGGAGGTTGCGGTGAGCCGAGATCGCGCCATTGCACTCCAGCCTGGGTAACAAGAGTGAAACTCCACCTCAAAAAAAAAAATAATAATAATAAATAAATAAATAGCATAATTAATTTGTAAGAAATTAATCAGTCTATTTGGAGGTCTAAATAAGTATAGTAGGAAGAACGAGTTGAAACTGCTATCAAACACATTATTTCAAGTGATAAACCACAACATTTAAGCTAAAGAAAGAAATAAATGAGATTAGGAAGGCCCTATTTAGGACAAAAAGATAAAAATTCTGGCGATGTCCATGAATTTTTACAACAGGTGCTGTGTTAGTCCACTCTGTGCTGCTATGACAGAATACCTGCGACCCGGTAATTTATAAAAACCTGAGATTTATTTCTTACAGCTCTAGATGCTTGGAAGTCCAAAGTCAAGGGGTGTACATCTGGGAAGGGCCTCCTTGGTGCATGATCCCATGACAAAAGGGCAAGAGAGCATGAGGAGCCAGGGAAGAAGGGGTCAAACTCATCCTTTTATCAGGAACCCACTCCCACAATAACTAATACACTCCTGAGATCATGGCATTAATCCATTCATGAGGGCAGAGTCCTCATGATCTCTTAAAGGTCTCACCTCTCAATACTGGTGCACTGAGAATTAAGTTTCCAATACATGAACTTTGGAGGACATGAATATTCATGAAACAATCCTCACTGTAGTGGTATTCAGAGGTGGAGCCTGGCCAAGCGCAGTGGCTCAGCTTGTAATTCCAGCACTTTAGGAGGCCAAGGCAGGAGGACTGCTTAAGGCCAGGAGTTCATAACCTACCTGGGAAATGAAGCAAGATCTCATTTCTACAAATTTTTTTTTTTTTTTTCTAAATTAGCTAGACACGGTGGCATGTACATGTAATCCCAGCTACTTGGGAGGCTCAGGCAGGAGAACTGATTGAGCCCAGGAGTTTGAGGCTGTAGTGAGCTATGACTGTGCCTCTGCACTACAGCCTCGCAATAGAGTGAGACCTTATCTCCAAAAAAGAAAAATGAGGTGGGGTCTTTGGGATGATTAAGGGATTAATATCCTTATAAAAGAGGCTGCAGAGTGAGCTTGCCTCTCTTGCTCTCCTGCCACATGAGGATACAGTGCTCCTCCCCAATGGTGGATGCAGCAACAAGGTGCCATGTTGGAAGCAGAGAGCAGCCCTCACTAGAAACACAACCTGCCTGTACCTTGATTTTTTTTATTTTTTTATTTTTATTTTTGAGACAGAGTTTCGCTCTTGTTACCCAGGCTGGAGTGCAATGGCACAATCTCGGCTCACCGCAATCTCCGCCTCCTGGGTTCAGGCAATTCTCTTGCCTCAGCCTCCTGAGTACCTGGGATTACAGGCATGTGCCACCATGCCCAGCTATTTTGTATTTTTAATAGAGACGGGGTTTCACCATATTGACCAGGATGGTCTCGATCTCTTGACCTCGTGATCCACCCGCCTCGGCCTCCCAAAGTGCTGGGATTACAGGCTTGAGCCACCACGCCCGGCCTGTGCCTTGATCTTAAACTCTCCAGCCTCCAAACTGTGAGAAATAAATTTCTATTGTTTATAACTTATCTAGTCTGTGGTCTTTTGTTATAGCAGCACAAATAACCAAGGCAATCAGTATAGCAGGCACAAAAGTCTGAAAGCTACAGAAAAATAAAAGGTTGCTATGAAAGTTCCCTTTGTCAGAATTTAAGATTTCAAAGTTAGGTAGTCTCAGGGTATAATGAGGACATAAAATAGGTTTAATCCTATCAAAACAAATTTAAAAAATAAAGATTATGAGATTTCTATGCTGATATATAAGCTATTAAAACAAAAAGACATCTAAACAATAGGTGTTAAATACAAGAATCATAAAACAGAGTTCCTGCCCAGGCAATTCATTATTGTTTTACACCAATTTACAGACTTCTAAAAGAGAGACTAGAAACACTTGCAGGTGTCTGGAGAGAGAAGAGATGAATGGTTAGATGGGGCTAAATAAAAGGGCAGGCCAAATAGGTGGGAAATAGGCAAATATGAGAAAGCAGAATATTAATGAATTGACTACAAGAAGCTAATATAGTAGTCCTCATTTAATATCACAGATAGGTTCTTGTGAATAGTGACTTCAAGCAAGACAACATATAGCAGGTCCTTAAATAACACTGCTTTTTCAATGTCATTTTGTTACAATGTTTGTAAGAAAACAAACTGGTATCCATCAGGCTAAGGCAGGAGAATCACTTGAACCTGGGAGATGAAGGTTGCAGCGAGCCAAGATCATGCCACGGCACTCCGGACAGAGTGAGATTCCATTTCAAAAAAGAAAGAAAAGAGAAAAGAAAACAAATTGGTTTCATTAAATGTCACTTTGCTTAAAGTCACATTTTCCAACAACCTATCAACAACGTTAAGTGAGTACTTACTGTACATGATTTATTATTTCTTAACTCTCTAAGTCTCTCCATCTGTCAAGTAACAGTCGCTTTACTTACCTCCAAGGGCTATTGCTGGATAACAAACAAAATTATTTTTAAATATGAAGGAGAAGAGAATGTTGCTTATAATAACAAAAACCTAGAAACAACCTAAATGACCATCAGTAGGAGAAGGCTAAATAACTTAATACAATTGGCTACTATATGGCAATTAAAAGGAATGTACCAAACCTATAAATACAAACATAGATACATATAAAAATGTTATGTTGTTTATGGATATGCATATACGTAGTTAAGAGCATAAAAGCGAACATGGGAATGATTTCAATACAAATTCAACATAAAGATTATCTCACTCCTGGGGAGGAAAGATAATGAGCTCAAGATGGATAACAAGGAAAAACCTTCAACTGTACCTGTATTGTTTCTTTAAAAAAAAATCTGAAGTCAATCTTACAAACTGTTAAAATTGGGCAAAGCTACATAATAAGAGATATTTAAGTATTCACCTTATTCTTTATCCTTGCAATGGTTCAGAATGCAAATAGGTAAAATATTATATTGCTTTTTTTTTTTTCAGACCCTTCTGTGGTAATATTATTACTAACAATAATGCTCACTCATATGAAACTTTAAGAATGTCAAATAAATCCTCAAAACTTTAAGACATGCTTATGGTCTATATAATGGATGTAATTTGAAAAGTATTTAACATTTTCTGGATTTGGTATGTTAATAAACGACAGAAAAAAAAGAAATGACAGAACCATTCTACAAGTCTCCATCTAAATCACAAAGGTATTTAAGCCCCTGCAATGATGAAGTAATAAATGATTTTCTTCTCTGTATAACTTTTCACAAATAGCACTATTTTCATAATCAGAAAAAAGGTTTTAAAGGAGGAAAAATCAACTGTCTTGATTACATAATTCTTAAGTCTTCAAAAAACTTCTTCACAGAAATGTTTTCTTTTTCATTTAGTGCTTCCAAATGTATACGCAAATAAACAATTCTGAGGCCATAAAACTGCTGTTCAAAATTAATGACTAATATGTACACTTCAAGAATAGTTTTTTTCAAAACAGACAGAAAAGAAGACAAATAATTTTAAACATATTGCAACATAAGAAATGATGCATAAAAATCTATGATTTTCGCACCTACTGCATTCCATATCTTCAGGCCAAGGAACACCAAACATCTCCATGAGCTTCGAGCACTCACTGTAAGCTCGCTGACACAGTCTACGACAGGGAAGTGTGACACGTCCATATTCCATACAAACAGGAGCATAGAGAGCACAAAGAAAAGGCCGGAAATCCCGAGAACAATCCAGATTCACCATAGGGTGGAATGGCTAGGGAAAAGTTAAAATTGAAAAATTAGTTAAAAAGCTGTAAACAAGTTAAAGCTTTGAATAATACTGCAACATTCTCTTTCATTAAAAGAAAATTCTGAGTGTTATTATTAAATTTTCTGAAGGGGAGTTTCTGGTTTTTTCAATAAAACGTCCCAGCCCTACCTACCCTTGAAAATTCTAATTTAGTTAAATGTGAGGTGTATCTGAGAATCTCTATGTATATTTTAGGTATTATAGGTGATACTAATGAAGAAGCAGGGTTGAGAACCACTGACAATATCCATTTTACAAAGAATAAATCCACAAAAGACATGCACCAAGTGTTCAAAAGTGTGATACTACTGGTGATAGCGTTACAAGAAATTTTAGTTTTCTTCTTTAAGTATTCCCCTTTTTTTTTGAGAGGGAGCCTCGCTCTGTTGCCCAGGCTGGAGTACAGTGGTGTGATCTTGGCTTACTGCATCCTCTATCTCCCACGTTCAAGCAATTCTCCTGCCTCAGTCTCCTGAGTAGCTGAGCAGCTGGGATTACAGGAATGCACCATCACGACCGGATAATTTTTTGTATTTTCAGTAGAGACAGGTTTTCACTATGTTGGCCAGGCTGCTCTTGAATTCCTGACCTCAAGTGATTCACCGGCCTTGGCCTACCAAAGTGCTGGGATTATAGGCATGAGCCACCATACCTGGACTCTTTTAAGTATTTCAGTTTCTAAATCTTCAATTAACTTTTGTCAACAGGTGAGAGAGGACAACAAGTAATAGGAGAAAAAAAGAGAAAAGTAGAGAAAGGTAAGTAATAACACAGTAGTAATTTAGGCATTTTAGGTGAGAGAAGGTCTCTCATTTTGGTTTCAAAGTTTTTTGATTTTGTTTTTTTTTTTAGACGGGGCCTTTCTTGCTCTGTCACACAGGGTGGAGTGCAGGGACATGATCTCTGCCTCCTAGGCTCAAGCAATTTTCGCACCTCAGCCTCTTGAGTAGCTCACAGGTATGCACCACCACAACTGGCTAATTTTTGCATTTTTTTTTAAAGAAAGGGTCTTGCCACGTTGCCCAAGCTGGTGGTCCCAAACTCCTGTCCACCTCAGCTGTCCAAAGTGCTGGGATTACAAGCCACCATGACTTTTTTTTTTTCTTTCTTTCTTTTTTTTTTTTTTTTTGAGACAGAGTTTCGCTCTTGTTACCCAGGCTGGAGTGCAATGGCACGATCTCGGCTCACCGCCACCTCCGCCTCCCGGGTTCAGGCAATTCTCCTGCCTCAGCCTCCTGAGTAGCTGGGATTACAGGCACGTGCCACCATGCCCAGCTAATTTTTTGTATTTTTAGTAGAGATGGGGTTTCACTATGTTGATCAGGACGGTCTCGATTTCTTGACTTTGTGATCCACCCGCCTCGGCCTCCCAAAGTGCTGGGATTACAGGCTTGAGCCACCGCGCCTGGCCGCCACCATGCCTTTTTTACATTTTGCAAAACATTTTAAACAGAGTTCTTTACAGTATGAAATCATATGATAAAACAAAGCTCATGCTGTAAGCTAACATTAAGGAAAAAAAAATAGCAGCCCCAAACATAAAACAACAGTAAAATAATCATTACAACCACAGGAATAGATAAAATATCCCAAAGGATGTGCAACTGGGCTTTTGACTATGGAATATTTTCCCCATTTATTTATATAATAGTTTGAGTCATTACTGATTTTGAACTGGTTACAGATACTCTCACCACTAGGCCTTTCTAATGTGGATGAATCAATCAATTTGTTTCTACATTGATATATATTATTTTCCAGAAGCCTCCTATACATAATGCAATTGGAAGATCAAGAGTCACTTAAAGAAACTGGTTTCAAAGAACTATAAAAATATAATAACTGATATATAACAATAAACTATATGTGACTTTCATGTCTAAGAAAGATAGAGTAGTCTGTATTAGACCAATGTTTCCATCAAGAACAACTTAAAGAGAAAAAAAGTTTTAAGTTATCTATTTAAAGCCATTGGAGAACTGCTAAGGAACTTTGGAGGAAATAAGAATTCAAATAGCAGGAAAGCACAAACAAGTAGCCTGATACATACAGCCACTTTTCCATGGATGCATTTGTTGAACTGGGTGTAAGACAAGAGGCTAGGAATCAAGCTTTGCCTAGGCTGTGCTGGAGAACGTGAGAAACCAGCAGAGCTGTAGGTGGTCTTGCAAGGCTATAGAGACAAAATTGGAAATGAAAGAAACAAGATCTAAGTGAGAAGTGGGAAGGATTGAGCCTAACACAGGGCCAGTTTTCTCTCTGTGTATTTGAAAATTCTAAAGCTACACAGGGAAGGACGCTAAGAAGCTAAGCAGAAAGTCTCTGAAGAACAGAGTAGAGATTTTGGCAGTCTTATCAGTCTGAAGAGACATGAATCACAGTTCAACCCCTGCAGAGCAACTCAACAAAACAGACTTTCAGCTGAGATGTACTGAAAGACTAACACCCTAGTAGCAGAGACAAATCAGAGGGAGGGACTTACCAACACTGCAATGTAGCGTCTACTCAGTTCAGTTCCTGACTGAATAAAAGTGATCTAGTGGCCGGACACAGTGGCTCATGGCTATAATCTGAGTATTCTGGGAGGCCAAGACAGGAGGATCACCTGAGCTCAGGAATTTGAGACCAGCCTGGGCAAAATAGCAAAACTGTCTCTACTTAAAAAAAAAAAAAAAAAAAAAGCTAGGCATGATGGCATATGCCTGTAGTCTCAGCTACTTGGGAGGCAGAGGCAGGAGGATCACTTTAGCCCAGTAGTTCAAGGCTGCAGTAAGCTATGACTGAGGCTGCAGTGAGCTATGATCACCAAGTATTCAGCCTGTAAGACAGAGTGAGATCCTGTCTCTAAATAAATAAATAAAAATAAACTGATCTTTTCCCATTTGTCTACTAAATAGAAAAGAGGATTAATCTTTTCTACAGTAATATAACGTACCTGGAACCTCACTAATATTTTATAATGTCTAGCACTTAGTAAAAGTTACTGGGCATTCCAAGTGGTGATTCAACTACTGGAGTTAACACACAAGGCTATATGTAATGATGACTAACATCTTCAGTAAAATGAAAGAGAAAAAATTCATCAGAGAATCAGAATTTATTATAAGAATCAAAATTCTATAATTGAAATACATAATTACTGAAATTAAGAACTTATTAGCGATATCAAAATATAGGACTGGCAAAACAGAAAACAAGGTAATAGAAAATATGCAAACAGAAAGTGAGTCACAGACCACAAAATACAGGAAAGAGCATGAAAAACATGTAAAACACACAAAAAAGGTCTAACACATGTAAATGCAATCTCAAAAGGAGAGCTCAGTAAGAACGAGGCTGAGGCAATACATAAAATGATGATGGGTAAGAATTTTTCAAAACTGATGAAAGACAACAACCTACAGATTTGAGAAGTTCTGCAAACTGCAAGGATAAATACAAGAAAACCTCAGCTAGGCATATATTAAATGACTGAAAACCCAAGAAAAATATGTTAAGGGCATTCAGTGGAAAAGAGACATTACCTTCAAGGAAGCTGACAGTAACTTTCAGAGTTGACTTCAGAAAACCAGATAACAATGGGATGGCTTATTTAAAAAGCTGAGGGAAAATAAATGCAAATCTGTAATTCTCTAGGCAGTAAAAATATTATTTACAAATGAAGGCAAATACACTTTTAGATAGACAAAAAAAGAAAAATTAGTCATCAGCAAACCACACTAAAAGAAATGCTTGAAAATTCTTTAGACAAAAGGGAAATGCTCTAACATGAGAATTCAAAATGAATTAAGAGCAACAAAAGGGATGACTGTGGGAAAATATAAATGAATATTCTTTGTGCCAACAAAAATAACATCATCTTAAAATACATACAAAATACATGTAAAATTAACATGCATAATAATAAAGTGGAAAAGGTGGAGAGTCACAAGAGCACTAATGGAGGAATGGTTGAAATAATTATTTATATTAGACTATTGTGAGTCAAAAGTGCATATCATAATTTTTAGGGTAAACAATAGAAGAACGCACAACTAACAAAGTAACAGAGAGGGAAATAAATAATAAAAAGAAGGCAAGATAAGAGAGAAAAAAGAATGCAAAAGAGTTTGAAAAAATTAAAATCAAATAGTAAGATTGTAGATATAAACCCAAGCAGATAAATGGAAATTTTAAAAAACACCAACAGAAAATTATAAAAAATTACTCCATTTCTAAGAGCATCAAAAAGAATAAATACTTAGGAATATATTTATCCAATGACATGTAAGACAGAAAACTATAAAATATTGTTGGTGGAAACTGAAGACTTAAATAAACAGAAAGACATCCTGTGTTCATGGTTTGGACAACAATGTTGTTCAGATGGCCGTCCTGCCAAAAGCGACATACAAATTCAGTGTAATCCCTTTGAAAATCCCAATGGCCTTCTGTTGTTGCAGAAATGGAAAAGCTGGTCCTAAAATTTATATGGAATTAAAAGAGACTCGGAATAGCCAAAACAATCTTGAAAAAGAACCAATTGGAGTACTCATATTTTCCAATTTCAAAACTTATCACAAAGCTATTATAGGAAATCAAAAGTGTGTACTAGGTAAGGATAGACATGTAGCTTAATGGGATAGAATTAGGAATCTAGAATTAAACCATCACATGTATGGCCAATTTATTTTCAAGAAAGATGCCAAGACTGTTCAATAGGAAAAAAGTCTCTTCAACAAAAGATACTGGAACAAGAGAAAAATCCACATGCAAAAGCATAACATTAGACTCTTACATTATATACAAAAATCAACTCAAAATGTATCGAAGGTCTAAGTATAAAAGCATAATCTATAAAACTCATAGAAGAAAACGTAGGGGCAAATTTCCATGACCTTGGATTAGCAATGGTTTCTTAGATATGACACCAAAAGCACAACAAGCTCAAAAGATAAAAATAGGTAGACTTGACTTCATCAAAA